AACACTTATTGTGCTCAATTGTATTTATTCTTGAGTGTTCTTTCTTTGTTCTAGAATTGTGCAAACATATTTTCCTTGTGAGGTTTTTCTTGTAAGTTTGCAAATTTGTATTTCTCTTTGAGAAAAGAGCGTTCTCAAGAATTGGGGTATATTCTTGAGGGAGTTGTAAGGTTATCTCTTTGGCCTCAAAAGAAAGAACAAATTAGTGAATTTGTTGGAAAATCCTTAGTGTGGATAGCTAAGGTAGTTGACGTAGACTTTGGTTAATAAAGTCGAACCACTCTAAATCGCTGTGCTATTTCTTTCAATTTTCTGCAAAAGCTTCCACAAAATTTTTATTGCCAATTCACCCCCCTCTTGGCCGATTTAGTCAATCGATTAACTTAATAGGTATAATTGGCATGCCAAGAGTTGAGGGTTCTACGCGGTCTTTCGGGACATCTATGTGGTCATTCGGGACAATTCTACGTGGTCATTCGGGACATATATATAGTCCTTCAGGACATTCTATGTGGCACTTCGATGCAATTTATACGAGCTGTGGTGATAACATTTATGCACAACCTCAATGCACTCACATACCTTAAGTTCTCAGAAGTGTACAATTGGTTATTAAAAGAAATAACCTAAATAAACAGGATGTAATGTCACGTGTTTTGCTTTGTGGAATGTATTTCATGATGTCTTACAAAGGCTAAGTACAAGATTATAACTCTTAGATGGTTTAATGGTTTTGAATAGTGATTATGATAATGATGTTAATAATGATATTGAATATGATGATTCTGATAATGATATATATATATATGTGTGTGTGTGTGTGTGTGTACTTATGTTTTTGCTACATGATGTGTTTTATAGTTCTTAATATGATTATATGAAATGCTTGTAATATGATTAAGGGATAAGATGTTTTATAATATATTTTATATGCTTCACTGAGTCTGTGACTTAGCGTGTGAGTTTTTCACACGTAGTATCAAAGAAGCTTGAGGAGCCATGATAAGAAGTTAGGACTGCATATCTTTAACAGGATCAGATCAGAAGCAATATATATATAGTAGGTTCTTTTGTTATATGAAATATTGTTGGCATGTAATTATAAGTTAAAATGGTATATACTCTGATCGGTTTTGTAAACCTTTTTTTATTGTAATTATGTAAATTATTCATATTTTTTTTTAAATATAAATTTGTATTTTGCAATTATCTTATGAAAGTAAATGATTTTGAAAAGTCAATGTAACACCTCGGATTCATATCCAGGTCAGATACGGGTTGGGGGTGTTACAATTATCGATACCCTTATATTTTTTTACAAACATCGAATGTAATTTTGGTACCGATACTTGGGGCAGTATCGATACCACCAAAGAGAAGTATCGATACCTGAAATAGAAGTATCGATATTGCGTAATGTCTCAAAATCCAATATACTGATATGGTATTGATACTCAAGGCAGTATCGATATCCTAAGAGAAAATAGTATCGATACCATGAGGTTGAGTATCGATACCGACGTAATAGTGAAGGCCATGAACCTTGTATCGATAAAAAAACTCAGGTAGAGGGTTAGGGTCGATGGAAAACTGATTAATAAAGGCTTGCAAGTTAGAACACTAATAATTGTGTGATAACATAAGATCATTATAAGGTAAGATTCCATAAGACTTATTCCTTTTTTTAATACTCAGGAAACAATGAGGATACCCGAGTCACTTGTGTGCGACGATAATCTAGTAGAGTAAAGGACTATTCAGATATATCCAAGCTAGTGCATGAGCATTTAAAGCTCTAGTTGAACGTCGTGTTGATGCTATGTAACCCAGTCGCATTTCGAGTACCCTTAGACTATGGGTGTTTACTATTCAATTTTAACCGAATTAACCAGCCGAACCGAATTAGTTTTGTTAATTCGATTGGCCATTGAATTATTTCGGTCAGAGAATGGTTAAGTTTTTTAATATTTGGTTAACGGTTAATTCGATTAGAAATCGATTAATTAACTAAATCAACCGAATTAACTAAAACTATTAAATATATTATATATATTAAATCCATATTTTAAGCTCAAACCCATTAAGAATTAAGAATCAATTATTTTTTAACTACACTAAATTTATTAAATTATCAATACCTAATTAAATGTTGACCTTATAATCAAATTAATCTAATTAAAAATTATAAAAATTTGGTTAATTCGGTTAACCAACTGAAATAACCGAACTTTGTTCTGTTTGATTAATATTTTCAAAAAAAAGTTCAGTTCGATTAAAGATTAAAAAAAAGTTCAGTTAATTCGATAAATGGTAATTTGGTTCGATCGGTGACCGAATTAACCGTTTGAACACTCCTACCCTAGAGGGGCAGGCTAGCTTGGCAAGGGTCGATGCTAATGTGACCCGGACCTAGCCTGAGGTACTAGTGAGATGCTGGTGTCGTGACCAGATATTACCTGAGGTACCTTCAGTAGGCAAATAGGGGTGTGGGTTTTGTGATGCTATTGTGACTGTGAGCTATACTATAATGCTTGTTTTCGTTGTGTGATATATGTACCTTGTTGTTCATAACTATATTCGTAGCATGCTCATTTGTTGAATGCATGTAGTATAACCGTGTTATTTATGTGGTATTGAGCTTGTGAACTCAATGTTCAAAATGTGTTTCCGTGTGCATGTTATTAGGTGCCAATTCGAGGAGCTCATCGCCGTATTGCAAATTTCCAGACGTGATTTGGAAATGTTATTCGAAGCTCCCCATATTTTGTAAACCTATTATATTTTTAGATTCTACTATGTTTTAATTATGGTTTAAACTATGAACGTTTAGTAACATTAATATTGTAGTGGACATGTATATCATAAACCCTTATGTACCTCCTAGTCAAAAACTCTATTTTTTTTAACTTATATATTTGGAAATGTTATTGGGAGCTTCTTATATTTTATAAACCTATTATATTTTGAGATTCTACTATATTTTAATTATGGTTTAAACTATGAATGTTACATTTGAATCCTACAGACTTCGGGTTTGATCGGATATGGTGTTATAAAATTTTTATTCAACCCTCATTCACAAACACTAATGTTACATTTTAATATATGGTAAAATACACAAATGGTCCCTTGATTATAGAGCATTACTTTGTTGAGTTTTTTATTATCAAAAGTTACAATGGTCCTTTAACGACATTGTTGTGTTGAGTCTCTCGACTATTAAAAGTTGCAAAATGGTCACCTAACTATTCATGTATGTCAAACTTGTCATTTTCTATTAAAAATTGATGGTAGTTTGAGTTGGACGTTAACCTGTTGACTGTGATATGATAAAATTTGATCCCAAAATCTTAAATGACTATCATATCTCATTCAACAAGTTAATGTCCAGCTCAGATTGTAATAATTTTTAACGAAATATGACGAGTTTGGAATATATAAATAATCAAGTGATCATTCTGTAACTTCTAATAGTCTAGGGACTCGATAAAGCAATGCCCTATAATTGTGAGATCATTTTGTAACTTTTAATAGTCAGTGAACTCAATAGAGCAACACACTATAACCAATAGACCATTTGTGTACTTTACCCTTAAATATAAATATGATTAATTTTTCAAACAAACACAAAATGAAGTATAGATTAAGAAAGTTTTAGTCACATACATTTTAGTTTTTAGTTAGAGATATTTGTAACCAATAATATGTATAAATCTATAAAATAAATAAATTTTAACTTATATTGCCATGTCATTTGTTCATCACATCCTCCACATAAGCATAAGAATGCCATATAGATTAAGTAAGGGCTTTAATGGGTAAAAAACATAGATTAGGGCTTGTTTTACTACAAAATAAGCACGAGAGTCTACTTGAACATTGTGTTATATTTTGAGGGCTTTTTGTATATTATCCAACTTCATATTATTATTATTATTATTATTATTATTATTATTATTATTATTAGTTTAACGCATTAAAATACGATTTGTTTTGTTTCTGCTTGTTCATTAACAATTGGGCTCAATTTAAACAATCCAAATACCCTAAATTTCCGGGGTTGTCCCAATAGGGATTTTGGATTAATAATTTAATATTTTACCCATCCTCCAATTTTAATTAAGAATCTATGACATTTGTTACAGTGTCGGAGAGACTCGCCACCTCAAAATGACAAGTTTTATGGAATATTACTTTTTATTGGATTTAGATGAGTGAGTCTCCTATGGACCAATAATTTATTATTTTTAATGGGACTCGTCACGTCGAATTGACGAGTCCATTAAAAATTATTTTTTATTATTGAAAAATATTTAAATTAGAAATTAAAAAAAGGTAACTCACGAGGTGATGAGTTGCATCGAATTCAAAAATTAGCCATTAGTCAACGGGCAGTTGTGCAACGGTCACTTAGAACTCGTCACCTTGAGGTGACTAGTTTCATCGGATTTTTTTATTATAGTCGTTGGAATAGTGTTATAAATAAGGGTTTGGGGTTTTATTTTTCATCAAACCCTAAATCCAAAAAAAAAATATGAAAATCTAACTTTAAGTGAAAATCCAGAAAAATGGTTTCGCAAGCAGAAATGTTACGCCTCGACAACGTCCATATTTCATCGATCGAACTCTATCAGCATCCGCGAATGTTGATATATCTTCAGCAATCGGATATTTTTCCAGCCATATTTGTATGTGGCTTCAAGATGTACCCAACGTTGATTCAGGTTCTGATCGAACGTTGGCAGCCCGAGACGTATATTTTCTAATTTTAAAATTAGAAATACTCTGTATATAAGTACTTTCTCGCATATATTCCAGCTTGAAAAATTCAAGCTACATTTTCGACATTACATCATTTGGCTCCAAATTTGAAAATAATGTTATTCTCCAATCCTCAGTATACATCAGGATATGCTAAATATATCGTTTACAACAATTTTGTTAGAGAAAGTGCTCCGTAAACGGAGTCCCTATAATATGCATATACACAAATACAGAGATGCTAAATATACTCGAGGCGTTCATCGATGAACATAAAGTTCGATGGTACATAAGTTGGCATATGGTAGGTATTTCGAGCTTCCGATATCTTGCTTTAACAGCTGTTTCTATGGTCAGTCTCTCGACTTGATATGTCGACCTTGAGAAACAAGGTAAATTATAAATGCAAGATATGCGCCTGTAAATGCAGACACCATGCTTGTGAACACTAGGCCAGTGACTACAGAGGAGAAGAAATCGAGTAAAAGATACCCGTTGATCACTATCACCAGCACGGTTACGAGCCATGCAACTGTCTGCAAAAGAGAGGAAAACATAAACAAGGCAAATTCTTGATCTGACAGGATCTACAAGCAGTAAAGGCTAGTAAACAAGCAATAAAATGAATCAATCGACCACCCGTAATTAAAATGATGCTTCATTGTTGATATGACAATCATCTCAGTGAATTTCCTTTCATATGTTTGTTTAATTCCTCTAGGAAGGAAGAAATGACAAAGAAGCAAGAGTGTTCAAACACGTGGAACTTATAAACTAGCATGTTCCGATTGTTTTCATAATCAAAACGAATGTTACAGGCACCTTGTTCACGGCTAAGTGTAGACAACAAGTAAAGTTACATCGATGACGTCAAGGAACCCAGTATAGCAGTTACATCGATGCGAGTCAATGCAAGTGTACACAATAATAGGCGAAAGGAAATTAAGAGCATACCTTGAGTACATTGCCAATTTTGAAGGCACCCATGATTTGTTCCTTGGATACCAGGCAAAGAAGAGGGATCAAAGCAAAAGGAATCTGAATTGACTGAAGCACATTAAGCCATTCGTTCAAGACATCGAGGGTCCGTTCAGACGTATCGAAAATAAGAGCCACTATAATAGTAGGAATGATTGCACAACTCCTTGTGATCAGTGCTCTTAGCCATTTTTTCAACCTCAGCTTCAAGAAACCTACCATGATGAACTGCCCTGCATAGGTGCCAGTAATAGTGCTACTTTGTCCTGCTGCTAACAACCCAATAGCCCAAATATACAAAATGGGGATTAACCCACCTCCATATTTTTCTTCAAGATACTGCCCTGCATTAACAAGACCAATACTACTTGCTATTTCTGTGTTGTAAAATGCTTTAGCAAAGACAGTCGTGACAAATAGATTGATTATGAACGAAACTATAAGAGCAGCAGCCGACTCGATCGAGTAATAATTGAGAGCTTCTTGCACCCTGGCTTTCTTGTTGCGGTCAATTTCTCGTGATTGCACGAGTGCAGAGTGCAAGAACACATTGTGTGGCATAATAATGCAGCCCACAACTCCAACAGCCTGCTTGATTGTTTTGGAGCTGAGTTTTGGAACCAAAATGCCTGTGAATATGAAACCATTAGAGCATCAGTCAATTTGCAATACTATATGCAGTACTATATGAAAATTGCTTGCAGTGGAGGGAAGTTCGTCACCAAGAAGAAGTTCGGTGCCACTGGGTTTAGTTTCACCAAACATCCAAGCAAACGAAATCGCCATTGTAGCAATAAGAACAGCAAAAAATGCTTCCAGCTTCCTCACTCCATAGTTCTCAAGAAACAAGAAGATAAAACTGTAACAAGGCAAAGGAAACGAAGAACCAAGTGAGAAAATGTAAGGAGAAAATGGATATAAATAGCATATAAAAAAGCCTCCTTTTACAATTTTCTCAGAGGAAGAAAAGTTGAGGTTTTTTTTCACCGACTCCCCATTTTGAATAAAAACCAAAAACCTTGAAAAACTCAGAGATCATACCATTGAAAACACAAAAATACTACAAACAAAAACGAAAATAGAAAAAAATCATCCAAATCAACAAGAACACTGACCAATCGCAGGCTGTAATAAGAACACCAGCCCACAAAGGGAAAGTACCATTACTCAAAATCTTAATAGCAATAGCACTTCCAATAACTTCCTGTATATCAGCTCCGATCAAAGCCAACTCTGTCATTACCCACAAAACCATCCCAGCCCAAGTCGGGTACTCTTCGCTACAAAGCTCGGCCAAGTGTTTCCCCGTGACCACACCAAGCCTTGCCGCCAACAGCTGAACCAACAACCCCATAGCTGTAGCCCACATCAAAAGCCACAGCAAAGAGTAACCGGCTATAGCTCCGGCTTGGAGATCACCTTCTAAATTCCCAGGATCCAAGAACGCTATTGACATTAAAAAACCGGGGCCGGTGAAAAGCCATAGCCTTTTCCAGGAAAAAGGTGGGACGGCACCCAGTGAACCTTCAGCGCCAGGTTCATTCATTCTGATGACGTGAATTTTTTCACCGGAGCCTTGCGCAACATCGTCGTCCGAGTCCTGGTCGGATAGTAACGGAACCTGGTTGTCTTCCGGTTGCATGTTGGGGTGTAGCTAGCGTGCAGCTGAGGTTTGCTTTTGCCTTTTTTGGTTTTAGAAATTTAGTGATAAAAAGAAGCTTGGCTTGAAGAAGAAAACTAAAAGGGTAACGACGACTACCGTTCCTTCCCACTATTTTTTCATGACCTTTTCTTTTTACGCCTTTCGATGCGTTTCTTCTCTCCCATTCTTTTGTTTTTCGTACTACTTTTTAATGGGGATTTTAGGAGCTTGCTGCTTGTATCCCATGCCATACTATATGCATGCAAAACAAATATGGGGATTCAATAATATCTTATTGATCACTATTTTTAAAATAATTTAAATTAATATCAATTTTTCTTCATCTATCCTATGAAAATTTGGAGGTCTCCTACGGAAGTTACTCTCAACCTGGTGTTGAGGACAATCTACTATCCTACCTCCCTTACCCCCATTACATTTGGGAATAAGGGTCAACTAATTTTTTTTTACTCTATGAAATATATAGATATAATTGTTTTAACTTATTTTTTTTAAGTAATTTTTTGAATTTAAATGTTGTGAAAAGATAATATTTTTTATTATTAAAATCATTCAATCAATTTAATTATTTTATATTTAAAAATTTTCTAAAAATAAATCATTCAATAATTTTATTAGTCTAGTGACAGGAATGTAATTTAATTAATCGTTGAAGGACTGTGAGTGTAGTTTACCCTTATTTATATATGCAAACAAAGAGCTTAAAAGGCTTTCCCCTTCCACTCAACTCGTGTCTCTTGGAAATTTATAATGATAAGGTAAAACTACAGATGAAGCAAATCTATTGAGTATACTTTGCAATAAAAATGTGTGGCAGAAGCTCCTGAGAGCCTCAATTTTTGAGAGTTTGCTTCCTTCAAGCATGTCCTCAACCATGCTTTTCACCACCCCACAACCGCCGACATCCTCCATAAACCGTAGCACCCTCTCATTCACCGCCGCCGTCACCAACTTCCCACCATCACCAGACAAGCTAGCTATTCTCTTAGATAAATCCAACTCAATTAATCAATTACTCCAAATCCACGCAGCTCTCCTCCGCCACGGCCTTCATCAACACCCAATCCTCAATTTCAAGCTTCAACGCTCTTACTCTTCGCAAGGCCGTCTCGACTACTCTCTCGCTCTCTTCAACCGAACTCTCAACCCCAATATATTTTTCTACACTTCTATCATTAACGGCCACGCCCTTCATGGTCTCTCCCAAGAAGCTCTGTTTATATATACCCAAATGTTATATGAAGGTGTTCAGCCTAATGAGTTTAGTTTCTCATCAATACTGAAATCTTGTTCTCTTGAACATGGAAAAATGATTCATTCGCAAGTTATCAAACTCGGGTTTGATTCGGATTTGTATGTAAAGACGGGTCTAGTTGATGTTTACGCCCGAGGGGGTGACGTTGGGTCTGCCCGTCTCGTGTTCGAGAAAATGCCGGAAAAGAGTTTAGTTTCTTTGACCACGATGCTAACTTGTTACGCGAAACACGGGGAGCTCAAGGAAGCGAGGTTGCTGTTTGATGGAATGGTGAAGAAGGATGAGGTATGTTGGAATGTGATGATCGATGGGTATGCTCAGTATGGAATGCCTAATGAAGCATTGGTGCTTTTCAGGCGAATGCTAGCAGCCAAAGCTAGGCCTAACGAAATCACTATACTAGCTGTTTTATCTGCTTGTGGGCAGCTTGGAGCTTTGGAGTCTGGCAGATGGCTTCATTCGTTTGTAGATAATAATGATATTCAAGTGAATGTTCGTCTTGCTACCGCTTTGATTGATATGTACAGCAAATGTGGGAGCTTGGAGGATGCAAGATTAATGTTCGATAAGATTTCCGATAAGGATGTTGTTGCATGGAATTCAATGATTATAGGGTATGCCTTACATGGGTTAAGCCAAGATGCGTTAGAGTTGTTTAATGAAATGTGTAGGATCGGATTGCGCCCTACTGATATTACATTCATCGGTGTCTTGGGTGCATGTGGTCACTCCGGTTTGGTCGAAGATGGATGGAGTCTTTTCAAGGCAATGAGAGATGAATATGAGATTGAACCAAAGATTGAACATTATGGATGTATGCTAAACCTTCTCGGTCGTGCTGGTCGATTGGAAGATGCATATGAGCTTATGAAGAACATGAAGGTAGAGCCTGATCCGATCTTGTGGGGAGCATTGCTTGGGGCATGTAGATTACATGGTAATCTTGAATTGGGAGAGAAAATTGCAGAGTATCTTGTCAGCCACAATCTTGCTAATTCAGGGACTTATATTCTTCTTTCGAACATGTATGCTGCGAAAGGCAATTGGGAAGAAGTAGCAAGGATAAGGACTTTGATGAAAGACAGTGGGGTACAGAAGGAGCCTGGTTGTAGCTTGATCGAAGTGAACAATAGGGTTCATGAGTTCCTTGCTGGGGACTTGAAACACCCCAAAACAGAAGAGATATATCAGATGTTAGAGGAAATGAATGGTTGGCTCAAAGCTCATGGTTACACCCCACAAACAGAGATTGTGCTACATGACATAGCGGATGAACAGAAAGAGCAGTCACTTGAAGTTCACAGTGAGAAGCTGGCGCTTGCATATGGTCTTATCAGCACTCAACCAGGAACCCCTATCAAGATAGTAAAAAACCTCCGGGTGTGCTCCGATTGCCATGCGGCAACCAAGTTGATCTCCAAAATCACCGGACGTAAAATTGTAATGAGGGATCGGAATCGGTTCCACCATTTTGTGAATGGTTCATGTTCTTGCGGTGATTACTGGTGATCTATATGAAAAGTTGATGTGTAATCCCAATTGAGTCACGAACATTATAGTAAATATATAGGTATTAATATCACTGCTGATAACAGTTCAAAACGTGATAATGGAGTTTTGTCCTTTCTGTAAGTTCTGGGCGTCATTTTCATTGGAGAAATAAATGCTGCAATAATAACGACTATTATTGTCGCATTTATTTCTCCAATGAAATAAGTATATATATATTAAAGTATAGGTATTTTAAGAATTTAGAAGAATTACAATAATAACGTTTATAAAGTATTAATATCTTAGACACATGTATCGATACATGATAATATAACATGTTGGAATACTTTTATTTTAGTATGTTTCTCAAACTATTTATACGCAAAATATATCGATACACATATATAAAGTATCGATACTTATAATTTCAAAACCTATTACTTTAAAGTAATATGTAAATTAACAATGGACACATTAAACGTTTCTACGGTATAATGAAAATAGATGTAAATATCCAAATATCGATACTTATATATAAAATATTGATACTTATAATTTCGAAACCTATTACTTTAAAGTAATAGGTAAATTAACAATGTACACGGTAAACATTTCTATTGGTATAATGAAAATAGGCGTAAATGTATAAGTTTCGATATTGTCATATAAATATTGATACTTATAATTTTGAAACCTACTACTTTAAAGTAATAGGTAAATTAACAATGTACACGGTAATATGTTGATAATATTGAAAACAAATTAAGTAATTAACTTATTTTGTTATCGTTGGATTTTTAAGGCCCATTAGCTTTAAACATGCGCTACCTATTACATTAAATAAGCGCTAATTGTTATGTTATTATGGTTGATAATGTTTCTATTAATTAATCTATTTTGTTATTGTCGTATTTATAAGGTTCTATCAACTTAAACTTTGGTAACATTTTAGACGCTACCTAATATGTTGATAATAAATTAAGTAATTAACATATTTTGTTATCGTCGGATTTCAAAGGCCCCGTCAGCTGGCGCTACCTATTACGTTAAATAAGTGTTACATGTTATGTTATTATGGTTGATAATGTTTCCAGTAATTAACCGATTATTTTAAAGTCATGTTTTTTTTGCGCATTTTACATACAACAATGATATTGTCAATTAACAAATATTTTTTACTCATTTAAATCCGTCAGCCCCAACTTTTTCCTCAATTCAAAGTCCTTCAATATACATGTTTTCCGCTCCAAACCAACAATTTTCACATAAAAAAGAAAAAACGATGGAAACTCTCTAGGCGCACGTTAGCAGGCCTAATGGTATTTCAGATTCTCTTCCTCGTTTCTAATTCTTTCTCATTCCTGATATTAGGGAATTTTCTAGGTTTTCTACTTGTTAGCTGTATGGAATCGCGATCATTGAGCCTGGATTAGAAGAATCTTTTCGTGGGATCGAAGGAGCAGTCTCTCGACTTTTTCCCCCCTAAGCTGCATGATGGAGTGGCCACTGTTATACCTCTGCCTAAGGTAATTAATGAAGGTATTGCTGATTGGAATAAAGCTCTTGTGGGGCAATTTATCAGTTCTGCCCCGAGTTTCTGATCTATGTAGCGAATCATTGAAACTATTCGGGGGAATTCTTCGCAAGTTAAGGTAAGTCTCGTCGGCCCTAATCTTCATGTGTTTTCGTTCTTGGATGTTGGCCTGAGGGACTGGGTTCTGGATAATGGACCTTGGCACGTCCAGAACAAGCCACTGGTATTAAGGAATTGGTTCTTTTATGCCAATTTGGATTCAGCTTTATAACGTTCCTTTAGAGCTCTATTCTTGGAAGGGTTTGAGTTACATAGCTAGCGCTTTAGGTAATCCTTTGTATATGGACTCGGTTATAGCTTCAAAGAACAAACTCGAATTCACCAAGGTTTGTGTGGAGATTGAAGCAGGGGTTGCCATTCATGATATTATTCATGTTATTGTTAATGATGGGTCCTCTGTTGGTATTAAAGTGCATGTGAATTGGCTTCCCAAATATTGTACTAATCATTTGGGCACCATGTTAATTCTTGCTCCCTGGATAGATAACCTTCTCAAAAATTCAAAGAGGTTCAAGTATGGAGGAAAAAGGATGTTATGACACCTGTCAGTATGGGGGCTTTACCAGTAATTTCTCCTGATACTATGGGGATAGTTGGATCAGTTAACATTTCTAAGGGGATGGCAGATTCTCTCTCTGGTAGTGTAAATAACAATGCAGAAGGAATGGTGAGTGATCTGAAAGTTGGCGTAGCTGTTGAGATAACAATACATGTATTGCAGGAGGCTACTAAGCCTATTTTAAAGGAAGCCATTCATGTTGCTACTTCCTCACAGTATCCTGCTACTGATTTGTCGAATACTGCAGCACATAAGGTGATTGGCCCTTGTGAGTAGGATAGGGACCATGTTATTGATGGTAGTGTGGTGAATCAGTTACAGGAAATGGTTCAATCTGGGGATTTTCATTCCCTCCAAGACTCCTTGAAAAAGAGGACTAAGGGAAGGAAAAAATGAGGCTATTGGCTCTTTTAGTAAAATGGAGATTATGGTTGAAGGTACTAGAAAAGCCTGAGCGGCTTATATGGGTGTGGAAATGTTGCTTAATGAGATCAAATCTAAGAAAAAAGACCATCATGAGAAAGCTAGGAGTACGGTGGTTAATCCGAGCACTGGCAGTAATGCTCAGCCTCCTTCATCTTGAATGTTGGTCGGTTTTTGGAATATAATGGGGATTAATAATCCCCTTAAACAATTAAAGGTGCTTAGAAGATTTGATGCTTGTGGTGTTGATGTTATCTGTGTGATGGAATCTCGCATTAAAAGAGTTAATTCTGATAGGTTTTCTAATGCATTGGCTGGTGACTGGAACTTTGCTGAGAACTATGATTTTGTTGAGGGAGGTAGGTTATGGATCTTTTGGAGAAAGCATTTGTTGTTCACTGTTTTGAGATGTTGTGATCAAGCTATTACTATTATTGGGGCTGTTGATGGGCACATGACAACTATTATTGCTATCTATGGCAGTAACAATGGTGTTGTTAGAAGGGATCTTTAGGATCATCTAAGTGTTGTTGATAAGGACATTGGTCATTCCTCCTGGCTGGTAGGTGGGGATTTCAACATCATTGCCAAACTTGAGGAGAGTTCTGACTTTGATGTCATGGGAGTCCATTGCACCCCTGACATAAAGGACTTCCAGGAGTGTTTGGAGGGCCTATACCTTATTGATCATCCTTTTCTTAGGCCTTTATTCACCTTGTCCAATAAGCAAGATGACTCTTACTTAGCCCGCAAACTTGACAGAATTTTAGTCAACGATCAATGGTTGTTGGATTTCCTAGACTCTTTTGTAGAATACAAAGCCAGGGGGGTCTCTGACTCTGATCATTGTTTAGGCTTACTGTGGTCACATAAGGCAGCAATGACTAGGCACCCTTAGCCTTTCAAGTTCTTCAATTGTTGGACTAGTCACGATAAGTTTCTGAATATTGTTAGAGATTTCTGGCAGAGTCAATGTGCAGGATCTGCTATGAGCTATTTTTTTAATAAGTTGAGAAGGCTTAAGCCTCTCCTTAAAGAGCTTAACAATGAGTTTTTCTGTGACATCTCTGGTAGAGTCAGAGCTAAAAGGTCTGAATGGGAGCAGATCCAAACATTTAATCTGGCTCACACAACTCAAAGGAGGACTGATGAAGAGAGGAGGGTTCATTTTGAACTTGTGGATTTGGAAACTGCTGAAGCTATTTTTTATAAACAGAAAGCTAAAGCACATTGGCTTAGAGATGGAGATTTGAATACAAAATTCTTTCATCACAAAGTTCAAGCTAATAAGAAAAGGAACACTATTAGAGTTATCAAAAGTGAGGATGAGCAGTTGTTTGAATCTTTTAAAGATATGGCTGCTGAGCTAGTGGGTTTTTTCACTAACCTCATTGGCTCTCCTGATCCCCCAGTGCTCTGCTAGAAATTTGAAGGACTTGATTAATGTTTGTCTGTCGGATGGTGCAGATGTATATCTTACTAAGGAGGTGAGTGATGTGGAGATCAAAGAGGCTCTCTTTAGAAAAGGGAATGATAAAAGCCCAGGTCCTAATGGCTACACTATTGGCTTCTTCAAAGCTGCCTGGAGCATTGTGGGTAGTGATTTCACTTCTGCTGTGAGGTATTTCTTCCAAACTTCCTATTTACTGCCTGCCTTCAATTCCACAGCCTTAGTTTTGGTCCCTAAATTCCCAAATGCTACCTTAGCAAAGGAATTTAGACCTATTTCTTGCTGCTCAGTTGTATACAAAACTATTACTAGAATTCTTGTTGATAGACTTACTACTTACTTCCCTGGACTGATTTCCCACAATCAATCAGCTTTTGTCAAGGGTAGAAATATAGTTGACAATACCCTGTTAGCTCAGGAGATAGTGAAGGGATATTCTAAGAAAAATCTTTCTCCTAGATGTACTGTAAAAATTGACTTGCAAAAGGCTTTTGATTCTGTTAACTGGGACTTTTTGTTGTCTGTTCTTGGGGCAATGGGGCTACCTGATGTGTTTTGCAATTGGATCAAGGATTATATTACTACCCATATGTACTATGTTTGCTTGAATGGTAGTTTAGTGGGTATTTTAAAGGGGCAAGGGGGATTAGGCAAAGGGATTCTCTATCCCCTTGTCTTTTTGTTATTGTGATTAATGTCCTATCCTCCCTGTTGAATGCTGCTGCCAAGAGAGGAATTTTTAGATACCATCCCAAATGCAAGAGAGTTTCTCTCACTCATCTTTGCTTTGCGGATGATCTATTAGTTTTTTGCCATGGATCTCTTGAGTCTGTGTTGGGAGTGCAGAGTACTTTAGAGGTTTTCTACGAGCTATCAGGATTAAAGTTGAATGCATTGAAGACAGATTTTTTTGTCTGTGGCTTAAATACAAACACTCTTGATCTGATTCATCAAGCTACTGGGTTTAAGATAGCACAGCTCCCTGTCAGGTATCTTGAAGTACCCCTTGTTACTCGCAATCTCACAGGGAAGGACTGTTCTGCTCTTTTGGAACGAATTAAAGGTAAACTAGCTCAATGGTCCAGCAAAAAGCTCAGCTTTGGGGGAAGACTACAGTTGGTAAACACTGTCTTGTTTAGTATCTTTAATTTTTGGAGCAGGCAGCTTGTTCTCCCTAAGGGGATCATTAATGATGTTGAGAGGATTTGCATGCGGTTTTTCTAGAAAGGTTGTGATGCCCCAGCCAGAGGTGCTCGTGTAAGCTGGAGCCAGGTTTGCTCTCCTAAGTCTGAGAGTGGTCTGGGTCTAAAGAGTCTTGCACTTTGGAGTAAGGCTTGCTGCCTACTGCTCATTAAAAATATTTTAGCAAATGATGGCTTACTCTGGATTGCATGGTTACGTGCATACTGCCTCAAAGTTGTTAGTTTCTGGGAAGTTGAGTACAAGGCCTGCTTTAGCTGGATTTTTAAAAAGTTGTTGAAGCTTCGTGAGGAGGCTAGGAATCTGTTCCTTCCTTGTTCCAATTGGAACCTGATTAAGGGTAAATGGATTTGGGATCAGAACAGAGTTCGTGCAGAAAAAGTTAGTTGGCACAGGATCATTTGGTTTCCTGCTCATATACTGAAATTCTCCCTTATTGTTTGGATGGCCACCCTTGATAGACTACCTACGAGGGATAGGCTGATTCGGTTTGGTTTAGTCTTGGATAATGGTTGTGTTCTGTGTGGGTCTGGGATTGAGTCCTGTGATCATCTCTTTGCAGATTGCTCCTTTACTTAGGAAGTATGGGATGTTGTGCAGCTTTCCTGTGGGATTCATCCTGCTTCGTTTAATTGGGATGATCGTCTTCAATTATTGATTGCTAACTTAAAGGGCAAATCTCTCAGGGTGAGGATTCTCAAGCTCGTCTGGATTGGTTTTTTGTACCACATTTGGGAGGAACGTAACCATATGAGCTTCAAGGTTTCTTCACGTTCTGATGATATGATTGTAAGTAGTATAAAAGATGTTGTAAAAATCAAATTGTATAGCCATAGTATACAGGGGATTGATGATGTAAATAGACAAAAGTGTATAAGTTGGGGATTGATCTAGTGCTGGGACTTGCCTTGTTCTTGTAGCAGCTTTGTTGCATTCTTTTGGATGAATATAATTTACTTATCCAAAAATAATGATATTATCGATTATTACTATTATTATTACCAACACAAATAATATTTTCGATGAAAACATATAATATTTACAATAACACTTTTAATCGGTCACCTACTTAATCAATTTTTTAAACCGTATTTTAACCACCTCTCATAATAACCTCCCATGACTGATAATTTCCAGCAAATCTTAATTTTGAGCAATGAAAATGGAAGAAATCGTGATATACTCTGTACTTTCAGCTCTTTTTCTATGTCTGGCCACCAAGTTAATCATCTCAAGACGCAAAAATCTCCATCCGAGTCCATTGGCTCTTCCAATTCTGGGCCACCTTCATCTCCTCAAAAGAACCACTCCATCGAACACTGTTTTCCCTCTCACAAAACACGGCCCCATATTCTCTCCCAAGCTCGGATCCCGTTTCCTCGTCGTCGTCTCCTCACCCTCCGCCATCCAACAATGTTTCACAACGAAAGACGTCGTCGTAGCCAACCGCCCTCGATTCGTCATGGGCAAGTACGTCGGCTACAACTACACCAATCTCGGTTTGGCCCCGTACGGCGATTATTGGCGCAACCTCCGTAAACTATCCACCATCGAGATCTTCTCCTCAACTCGTCTAAACATGTCTTTAGACATTCGAAGAGACGAAACCAGTCGTTTGCCGCACCCATTGTACCGGGTTTCTGTCGATGGGTTCGCCAAGGTGGATCTGTAATCGATGTTTACGGAGCTGACGTTTAATATAATCGTGAGAATGATGGCGGGGAAGCGGTATTTCGGAGACGATGTTGCCCAGAATTCCGAGGAAGGGAGGCGGTTCAGGGAGATGATTAGGGAGCTTTCTGAATTGTCGGTTTCTTCGTATCCAGGAGATTTCTTGCCAATATTGCAGTTGGTTGATTACAATGGATACATGAAGAGGATAAAAGATCTGGGGTAAGAAAACGGATGAATTAATGCAAGAAATGATCGATGAACACAGAAGGAACAAATGTGATTTAAGCATCAAAAACACTATGATCACTCATTTGTTATCTTTGCAAGAATCACAGCCCGAATATTATACCGATGTGGTCATCAAAGGTCTTTTACAGGTCAGTTGGAACTTTCAACTTGATTATTTTATCACTTCTCCAAACGAAATTTTAATGCTTTTTCAGGATCCGGAAATCAAGTAAGGATTGAACAATTCAACTTCGGCGGCAAAAGATTACATCTTTTCTTCTTTATTAATGATTATTATTTCTGTGTTAAATGCTGAGTGCGACCTTTTTTTTACTTGTGTTATAAACTCTGAATTTAGACTTGGGTACGGCTCTAACGAAAATTTAGATATCAAGTTATAAAATAGGTTACGGTTAAGGATAATATTCCTTAAAAGAAATACAATAAAATGCTTGGATTATTCAATTTTATAGGCTTGAATTTCAATTTTGCACATCATTGTAATTGCTGGAACTGATACAACATCAATAACATTGGAATGGGCAATGTCTAATCTGCTGAACCATCCCCAAGTGCTGGCAACAGCTAGAGCTGTACTAGACAAAAACATCGGTCAAGAAAAACTGGTGGAAGAAGCTGATGTCGCCAAATTACCTTACTTACAATGCATAATCTCCGAGACTCTTCGGCTATACCCGGCAGCTCCACTGTTGGTTCCACATTCGGCGTCTGAAAATTGCAGCATCAGAGGCTACGAAGTACCCAGCGATGCAATCTTGATGGTGAATGCTTGGGCTATTCAAAGAGACCCTAAGTTATGGGATGATCCGATGAGTTTCAAGCCAGAGAGGTTCGAACAAGGCAAAGAGACGGGTGATCTAATAATGGTATTCCAATATATAATTCCACGACTACAACCACAACCGACCTTCAACAACTACTGGTATATAATTTATAATCTAATAATCATGTGAGAGGTTTGAAGATTTGCTAATTTCCAACATTCTATATTTATGTCCATTTTTGAAGTTTTAAACATCTCAACTTGCCAACTCTTTTTCATCAGATTTCTCAACACTTTATGAATTTAACTTTCAACCGTAGATTAATCAAAAAAAATTATACTGACTATTTTTCCTATCAACTCGACATCACTGACGAGCTTACATGTGGTTCGCCTCCATTTCTTTCCTTTTTCTCAACTAGGGGATGCCTTGTTCAATGTCACAGCTTCAAGTAAGTCTCTGCTATCCAATTTCAGTGTCAGAAACACTTATTCTTTCCCTGTGATTAAAGATTTCTTAGTGCCTATCAATTCATCAAAGTTCAAAATCAACTTTATCACTGCACGCCAATCATCTCTGGCCTTTGTGAACGCCATAGAAGTTTTCCATGTTTCAAACCTTAAGGATAATAAGACTCATCTGAGTCCTGCAGGAACAACGGGCCTTTACCAGGGTTTTCCCTCTCAATTGCTTAGAACACTTCATAGAGTTGCTTTTAGAACATTCCATTGGTGACCCAACGGTTGTTGCATCAGAATGGGTAACTGATGGTGACTACATGGTTGCTGGTAACTGGGCAACGAATTGTTCTTATCAACCAACTATTACTCTACGCTATGATGATGAATATTTAGTAGGTGCTGAAAATTATATGCAGCCTCGCAAAACTTTATTCCAGATGGTGTCTATAGGACTTGCAAAGAAGTAAGCCTGAATGATAGTCGGTCATCAAATTCTCGTAATATTACTTGGCATTTCAATGTTACTAAGAACGCTCGGCATTTTGTTTGAGTCCATTTCTGCGACATCCTTAGTTCATCACCCAACACCGTCCAATTCTTTCTCTTTGTATATAATAACTACAGCCAGCAAATCAATCCTTACCTGTATACTGTCGACTTGGTCGTTCCATTCTATTTAGATTTAGTGGTTGATTCGGGTGAATCTAATTTCATTATTGTTGGTGTTGTTCCTTGGGCGAACTCAACCGTGGATCACTATGCTTACCTAAACGGACTCGAGATTATGGAGTTCATCACTGAACCAGGTTTGGATCCTGAGATTAGTAAGTCAAAAGGGAAGAATTTAGTGCGGCTTCATACGGTACCCTTCATTTCGGAGGAGCGAGCCCTTATATTGGAATGAGCTCAAAATCTGTCAATCAATCTTCTGTTCCGAACTTAAATCAGAAGTTAAAGATGCCTTTTGCTGAAATATTAGAGGCAACCCAAAATTTCGATGCTAAATTACTGTTTGGGGAAGTAAGCTTTGGGAAAATCTATAAAGGGATTCTAAGAATGTTGGGAAATAAAAGATTAATTTTTTTATAATTATATTAGTGAGATTGTAAAATAAAAGCAGAAAAATAATACCTGAAATTGATAACGGAGTTCAGCCAATTATGCATACGTCTCCGGACTGCTGTAGATCTTTTACTAAAGAAATAAAATTTATAGGTGTTTACAAAACACTCACAACTCACAAGAAAGCTCTCTAGTATTGGGAGAAAAAAATGATTTGAGATGATTTTGAAGCAAATGAGTTAGGGTATTTATAGTTGAAGCTTAAGGACTAATCTTGTAAAAACCTTAAAGTGTACAGGGACTAAAATACAATTTTCTCATGACCATTTTAAACAAAATTCTGCCAACCCATTGAATCAAGCACCATTTGGTGCCAACCTTTGAAATTATGCACCATTCGGTGCATCCTTGACTTTCAACAATCTCTCACTTGAAGACTGATTTTAATCTGTCTTTACACCTCGATCAATGCATCAACATTTCTAGTCTTGTTACTCTAGCATGCCAACTGAAGTTGAACACAACTTCAGTTTGTCCGTAGTCACCGTCTTTGTTAACATGCCTACCGGATTTTGAGCTCCACTAATCTTTTCAAGTTTCAAAATCCCATCTTCCAGAAGAGACCAGATAAAATGATATCGCAATTGTATGTGCTTCGTCCTAGAATGAAAATACGGATTCTTCGCTAGATGGATAGAACTTTGATTGTTGCAATACAAGACATTGTTTTCTTGTTTCTTGCCTAACTCTTCCAATAAACTTTGGAGCCAACCATCTCCTTGTTGGCTTCCGTAACAGCGACATATTCTGCTTCAATTATAGAGAGAGCAACTATCTTATGTAGTTGAGAAACCCAACTCATTGCAGTAACTCCTAGAGTATAGACATACCCTGTAGTGCTCCTTCTGATGTCAACATTTCTGGCTAATTCAACATCTACATAGCCTATCAGTATCGTATCTCCTCCTTTGAAACAAAGTGATTTGTTTGTAGTACCCTGCAAATATCTGAGGATCCATTTGACTACTTCCCAGTGTATCTTGCCCGAATTATTCATGTACCTACTAACAGCTCCCACTGCATGAGCAATATATGGTCTAGTACAAACCATGGCATACACCAGACTTCCAATTGCTGAGCCATACGACACCTTCACCATGTGTGCACGTTCTTCCTCCGTCTTTGGTGAATGTTCTTTGGAGAGTCTAAAATGAACGCCTAAAGGTGTACTTATTGGTTTAGCATCTTGCATGTTGAACCTGGAGAGTACTTTGTTGATGTACTCAGCCTGTGATAACATCAAAGTCCCCGACTTTGTGTCTCTCTTAATTCTCATCCCAAGAATCTGCTTTATAGTGCCCAGATTTTT